GTGGAACCAATATATGTCAGTTGTCTATCATATCTTTTGTCTTCTAGCAGTATGACTTCTAATGATAGCCCATATGGATTGTTATTCATGTCTTCTAGGAAGAGTTTTATGTCTGGTTCCTCCTTCCAAAATATAACTATGTCATCAATATATCGTTTATATAACAAGATATTGTGCAAAAAACGTGGTAGGACGTTGTTTTCCAATCTTCTGATTACCATTTCGCACAATGGTAATCACCCGATACCGGGCTACCCGATGGGTAGCAAGCTGGCTGTGCCATCTTATGCTACACAGCCAGCTTATGCTACAATTTTGGACTTCTGTTTGTTATTTCCTTCGATAGAACTACCACCGTGTTTTTGTGAGCTCAGGAACTGTCTGTTTTCGACAGTTGAGGACACCACAATGCACCAACAGATTCTTGAGCTAGTACATTTGGTATGCTATAGCTCTCTTTTCCAATTTAATGGGAAAACGTACTTGCAAGGGAAAGGAGTCCCGATGGGTAGCCCGGTATTGGGTGATTTGTGCGAAATGGTAATCAGAAGATTGGAAAACAACGTCCTACCACGTTTTTTGCACAATATCTTGTTATATAAACGATATATTGATGACATAGTTATATTTTGGAAGGAGGAACCAGACATAAAACTCTTCCTAGAAGACATGAATAACAATCCATATGGGCTATCATTAGAAGTCATACTGCTAAAAGACAAAAGATATGATAGACAACTGACATATATTGGTTCCACTAAGCGTTCGTTAAAAGTGAGGTTAAAAGAACATGAGTCATATATACAGCAAGGTAGATACACAACAACCCTGGCAACATATGCTTCGGAACAGGAAATAATGGCGGACCTGCGCGTGGCAAAAATCATTAAAACCAACTCCAACCCTCAACAACAATGGCTAGAGGTCATGGAGATATTTAAGGCGGGAAGAAACGGCACGTGTATTAATTATAAAGAGGAAATGGCCCTATCGATAGCATGGAAGATTTTGCTGGATAACAGCATTTAAAGAGATGAGTATGGAGCATGCGCAATACAAAGATAGAATTCGGAAGAGATTTTGATAGATGACAGAGTTTAAAGGGATGAATATAGAGCATGTGCAACACAACTTCGGAACAATTTCAAATGATAGAATTCGGAAGAGATTCATATCGAATGCTTATTTGAATATTAAAGGCCCATTCGTTATAGCCTGAAGAAGAGCCCTGGAGGGGCAACGAAAACGTTCGCAATTCTAAAAATAGAAGCACTCCGGTTAAAGGTTTGAAGAGCTTTTTATTTTATTTTAATTAATATATAATTATATGTACAGTATCTAATTTATATATAATTTATTTATGATACTTTACAGACGATAGTAAACTCAATTTACCCACCTTAACTCTCCATAGCGTGGCGCTGGATGGCGGAAAGTAGTTCGGCTGCCCAATGATGTTTTACTGAATTATAGGAGTTTTTTTACCATGTTTGTACGGATACCGTCACAGTTTTTTCGCCGTCATATAGGAATCCGAACTATAGGAATCCGTGTTATGGGGGTCGACTGTACAACCAAACACATCAAAAATAAAGCAAAGAAAACACTGAAAACACATGAGTGTAATGCAAAATATGATTTTATAGCAAGAGTGAGAGGCAACTTGGATGTACAACAGATGGCATACAGCAAGTGCATATTTTCACTGTGCATAGAGTTTGAATGTAGAAGCATCATTTGAATTCTGGATCAAATTTCTCTCAAATTTAACTTTCAAACTCTGGAATCTTTGAAGTTAGTCATTTCAAGCATGAAGTATTGTAAAAGTTACAATATTCTTATAATACAGTGAATATTATAAGAATATTGTATTATAAGAATATTATAAGAATATTGTAACTTTTGACTCAAGTTGAATTTTTGTAATGTGTTCTACATAAAGCTGTTGGAAACTTTTAGTTAGATGTTGTAAAGTCTGAAGATGATCTTCAAACAAGATTGAAAACGTTAGTAATTGAACAAAGTTTTGTTGGAGTGGTATGGCTTATCATACTTCTGGATTAAAATCCAGAAGTATGATAAGCCATACCATTCCAGCCATAACATAAGCCATACCACTCCAGAAGTATGATAAGCCAGTTTGTGAAAATATGTGCCTTATCATACTTCTGAATTAAAATCCAGAAGTATGATAAGGCACATATTTTCACAAACTGGACTGCTTTTTAAAACTTCCAATTTGTGAAAATATTCTCAAGGTATACTGGATGCAATACAATTAGATAAGGAAACACATCTTTTGATTTCCAGCAATAGTTTGAAGATTTCAGAGTTTGAACACTATTTTTGTATTTGATTCATTTGTCCTAACTGAGGAAGACAGATCAAAAACATTTTTATTCAGTTTGTGGTATTACTATAAGAATCATTTATAAATAAATATATACATAATTGAGAAATTTATAAGGCATTTATTTTTGATGCTTAAAGCAAAACATCCTGGTGGAGGTAAATCCTCAATTGAAAAATTTCTTTCAATGCATTAGTATTACTATTTTTAATAATATGCAGATATTAATTTGTATTTTTATTATTTTTCAGGGTCGTGTTCTTCATCCAGAACAGCATAGAGTTGTCAGTGTTAGGGAATGTGCTCGTTCGCAAGGTTTTCCTGATAGTTATCGCTTTTTTGGGATTATTACTGATCGTCATAGGCAGGTAAGGTGAACTATTTTTCATGTTTTAAAATTTTTCTGATAATAAGAAATTTAAAATAAGCAATAAAAGTCTTGTTTTATCTTTTCATATAATCATTAACATTTTTACAAGTAAATGTAAATTTAGAAATATTTTTAGCTATAAATAAACACATTGTGTAATTAAATACTTTTAATTTTAGTGGACTTAGTTAAAACAAATTTTTTGTACTGTTATTAATATCTCCAAAAAAATAAATACAGTGAGTGATTGGTTAATGAACATAATCTGTTCCAAGACTTTGCTCACTGTCAGAATTGTTTGTTAAATTAACTTCAACTTGGTTTGGATGCCATTCTAAGACCATTGTTCTGACATCCTCCCACTTCTTCAAAAGATGTTTAATAGCAGATATCGGTATTAAGCCTCTTTTTCGGAAGAAAACATATCTCACTGAGTTTCTTGGTGTTCTTCATTTCAGAGTTGTTCTGTTAGATCAGTTTCAGGTTCCATTATGAGCTCTTCAATGTTCTTTATTTTTCAGATGTGATTTTTGTTACTCCTTTATCTGCTTGAGTCTTCTTGATAATACAGTATCTTTCTTAGATAAAATTGAACTGTGGCCTACTGTAGATCTGTTCGAGCCATACTGCCCAGCAACATCAGACGTCTTCTGCCCATTCTCTACCTTTACTATTATACTCTCATCTTTCGAAAATAAAATCTGATGCAAAACTTAACAAGTGCCCTTCCAACAGTCTTGCGAATACTATAAAAAAAATTGTTTCTGTCAGAAAAATAAAAGGCTGGAATTACAAGGGAGAGTTTCAAAGTTCGGAGGAATACTATCTGATCAATATATACTGGGTTGAGTGTCGATGTCGATGTCTCCCGTGCTCTGAAAAGTTTCAAATTGTTGCCTGAAGACAAGAGAAGACCAATCTGTATTCATTATTTTACATTGCTTCTTCTTGTGTTTGTTCTGTGAGGTGTTCGTTATCTGAACATAAAAATCTTTTGCAAAAGTGTTCGTTACGCAATTTGTTAACCAATCACCTACTGTAATTAAATTTCTTAATTCAAAAATAAATTGGCATTCATAATCAATTAATATGGCTACAGTATACCTTTACAGTGCAGCAAAAGTTTATTTCTCTAATGTTTAAGGTCTTCTTAATCAACCTTTCTCAGAAAATTTACAGTTTAAAATGAACAAAAGCTGTAATGTATTCTAGAATCACTTAATTTGTATATTAATTCTTTTAGAGTAAACAACAAAAAATTTTGAATATGTGTATTGGACTTCTGTTTTTAACATCATATATTTAATAAGTTATATTCTTGTTTTACTATACTTTTATGTATAAATATAAAATAAAGTAACTCATGAAATAACAATAAATATATGGTATGAGCTAACAATAATTTCATGACTTACAGCAGACATATCTAATTTATTTTTATTTCTTTCTTAATGTTATTTCTCCTAATACAATAGCTTCTTCTACTTTTATTTAACTTAGATATTCAGATTCTTGTTTCAAACTTTTTGCCAATTATGCACACATTTATTGCTACTGCTTCATTCTTTTTTATTAAATGTAAGAATCATATAGACGCCTTAAAATCCTTTTTTTTTTATCATTTAAATTGCCTATAATGTCAATTATTTTTTAAATACAGTAAGACCCTGCTTAACACTGATTCAATATAACACAGTCTGCTAGAAGCTTAATAAACTCAAAATTTACACTGATTTAAATTATCACAGTTTTCATTGATTCGTACATAATGCGATTATTTACGAACACGAACTAATCAGAAAAAGGTTGCAAAAAGGTGTACTTTCTTTAAATCTATGTTTGTTTGGTGCAATTTTGGAAAAAATGTAACATCATGAATGCCGTAGGCAATAATGACTTTGCTTGGCAAGAATTAATTGATAAATGCACGAATGGAGTATAGAAGAAGTTATGGCTGAAGGTATCCAAGAATTCTCAATGAAAAGAGCCTATCGTATCGTTAAGTTGACCAAACTCAACCTAACCAATACAGCAGGACTAGGAGATGTAGATGAGCAGGATATTGAGGAGTTACAGCAGGTTTCTGGTGAGAGCCTTACCAATGACGACCTTCAAGAACTGGCAGAACAAGGAATTCATGTGGAACTGGAAAATAGAGATTATGAAAATGAAAAACCCAAAAAATTTCTCTACAGATTTCCTTAGTAAAAGTTTGGTAACGATAACCAAAATTATTAATCAAATTGTAGCAAAAATGATCCAGATTTTAAAAGGAGTGCAAAAGCAAAACAAGGTGTTTTGGATGCGATCTTCTGCTACCGACATTTGCTTAAGGAAGGAAAAAGCGACAAATGAAACGTCATGACTTTATTGCAAAAAAAAAAAAAAAAAACAAGAATTTCAGAAGAGCCAAGACCTTCATCACAAAAAATGAACTTTACATTTCTGTGTGCATATGTTTATGTGTTATTTAACATATATTATTATACAAATTAATATAAAAATAACTTAAATTTAAAGTAAAATTTTTTTATTTTTGGTTGCATGTTCTCCTATCCCAATTTACTCTGTTAAAATGACCTCGTTTAATGCTGTTTCATTTAGTACTTTGTCGTCTAGGAATGTATCCCCTGCATTAAGCAGGGTCTTACTGTATGTCTAATATTTAGTTGTGGTTTGGCATTTGGAAGCCTAATTTTTATCAGCAAAATATATTATATTGCTTCTTCTTTGTATCAATCAATATTAGTTTCATTTTTTCCTTCATTTTGTTATAACTGATTTTATTATCTAATTTTCAAAATATTTAATTATTCCATATATTCTTGCTTAGTTAGTAAAATATCAAAAACAAATAAATAATATCTGTAGATTCTAACAGTGTTAATGCTCAGGACAATGTTTCAAGAAAATATTCAATAATTAAATTTTTTTACTTCTTGAAAATACTTTTTACTTTCAAGCAGTATGGGAGGGCAAATGTCTTCAAATTATTAAATAGTGGCATTTGTCATAAAATAACACAAGACAAATGATCAGATTTTTATGACCTTCAAAGAAGTTCAAAAGTCAGTTCTAATGCTGATGCATTGAAAATACAATAATCAAATATTTTGTATTTTGTTTTTTTGCTGATTTTCATATGCTTTTTGTTCCTCTGATATTTGTTTATTTTGTATTTTTGTGGCACTTGAAAAAGGCTTGAATTTGCTTTGAAGTCACAAAAAATCTCAGATTTTAAGTGCATGTGCAGAAACAAATGAAACCCAATCTTAGATCCATGATTGCAGTCAAAAGGTTAAATAAATATGGATTATTAATAGAAAAGCTGTATTATTTTCAAATAAACATCCATTAACTCACTTTGGCATTAATCTAAAAAATTATCAGATTAATACATGTAATAGCATTATTATAACCCATTGTATTCCAGTAATCATTTTGCATTATATTATTTTCATTTCTGCTTAACAAGTTTCCCGCTTGAGAAGTTTTTAGATGGACCTTGAAAACTTCTTAACCAAGTTCCACATGTTTATGTATTTTCTACAGATCTTGGGTAAAAATGCCAAAAATACCACTAATTGGTCATAATAGATTGTTACTTTGTTTCAAACATAGTAGTGAGTGGGTAAATGAGTGTAATTTATTCTATTAAGTACACTTAAGGATCAAACACTTAACAATACAGTAATACCCCGAACTTATGCAATAGGTGGAACCGAGCAATAACCACATAAGTCAAATTCGCATAAGTCAGGGTATAATTTCGCAATTTGTGTAAAATCCAAGTCAGATGTATGTAAGCTAATAAATGTTCTCGTTAATCTTATCTCATCTTTTGATTCGTTCACGGTTACAAGAAATCACCACATAGAGTCTCTCAAGTCTCCATAGATATAACAAACACAGAAATAAATAACACAAAATAAATTGTAGCTATGTGTTGATTTGGCACGACATGTCCGAACATGTAAGCTGAACAATAATGTGAGGGGAGTGAGTAATCAAGAGTTGCGTGACGCTCAAACAAAAGACGAATCAAGGAGATTTGAAAATCTCGTAACTTCGGGTTCGCGTAAGTCGAGGTATTACTGTACATGGTTATTGTGTACAAATGTACTTTCTAGGTTAGTTTTTGACTTATGACAAAACCTTGGAAACCTAACCTAACCTTTGTAAGTAGGGGATCTTACATCAAAATTTTATTTATTTAAAACTAGTCAAAACTTTTAATCATAACATTGAATACTAATAATATAATTTTATATTTGAAATTTTGAAGTTAAATATTTATGTTTAGTTGTAGAATCATTGAATGATAATATGTTTCTAAATTTTCTCAATTCTGTAAAAATTACAATCTTGTAAATTTTAACTAAGTTAGTTGATTTCTATGTAATATAATTTACTTCAATTCTATAATTGGGCTGCAATCTGAAAAAATTGTAGATCTATAATTCCCACTGTCTTTCCTTAATCTCATTAAATTTCAAAGCTTTTCAAAGCAATGGTAATGACAGTTGCACTGATTTAATAATACAATTGATTTATTATTAATTACAATTAATGAATTTTCTTATTATTAAAATTATTTGTTGATAAAAAAAATACTTTTGCAAAATTATTTTGTGTTTTAGAACGTGTTTCAAAGTATGTTATAATTTTAAAATTGAAAAACATTTTCCCACACTTTTATGTAATTTAAATCCTGTTTTTAACCTTTGAAAATTATATATAATTCTATAACATTTATACATAATTCTATAACATTTCAATCTGTTCATTTTTGTTTAATATATTATCAGGTGTACAATAATAGTTTTCTTTATTGCCATAAAATATTTAAATTGTTTGTATTGTTGTTAAATATTGAATAGTTATATAAAATTTTTACATTTCAGATAGGAAATGCTGTACCTCCACCACTTGCTACCGCAATAGGATATGAAATTTTAAAATGTGTTGCAGAAAAAGAAAATAATGTGCAATCCCCAAATAAGAACAATGGTGATATTAGTGATGCAAAAATGAGAGAAAAAATTGGTAGTAGTCCAAAAGCCAGTACATCAAATGTTTAATGAAGTACTTTAAAAAAACTCATTATAAATTTTAAGTAATTTTTATAAATTGATATGGTTTTAGCATTCCAGTACTGCAAGAGAGCTAAATAAGGACACATGTTCTTGTAAAAATAATAATTATATTTTATACATGAAACAAAAATAATAAGCAAACAGAATTCACGCACAAAGCTCATAAAATCTGTATACCCATTAAAATTAAAATTTGAAGTGTTTAAAACTCTACAAATCTATAGCATTACTATTTTCATCTTCTATAATTGTTTTACCTTTTTAATGAAATGTATAAGTTTTTTATCAGGTTTCAAATTAAAAAAAATCTTAAAAAAATTTTTATTGTTCTATTATTTATTTACTTTCAAAGAACAAAAATGTGTAATCATTTTAACTTTATTAAAAATAAATGTATCTTCAACAATATTATAAAGGCAGAGTATCAATTATTTAACAGACTAGATTCATAAAATCTTATATGGCATACAATTAATCATTCTACAAAAATATGGTATTTACATTAAAAATAATTCATCATTGAGCTTATCTTAATTCTGTAAAGATAATGAACAATTATAAAACCACTTTTAAATTTTCTTGTGAAAGAATATCAATTACATCAAATAAAATTTTATTGCAGTACTCTTACAGAGTTTAATGGTCTCAAGACCTGTTAATTACATATAATTTCTAAATATAATTTTAAATTATATATACTATTTTTTCATTGTTAAAAAAATTGTTCATATTCATAAACTTTAAATATTCATTAAACATCAAAATATTCAAAAATTTACTAACTATTAAATATAATGATAGTTTTCTTTATTGTCATCAATGACACTATATTTAAAAAAGATAATTTATAAAACATGCTGCTTTGTTAGAGCAAATAGCTTGTATCATCAAATGTAGGTCAGTAGACCTATGGATGGAAGAATTTTATAAATAGGTGAAATTGATTAAAGTACAGGTAACCCTGTACTTTAATCAATTGTACTTTAATCAATATTTTGTTTACATTTATTTCACATAAAAGTTTACATAATTTATAATATTAAAACTGTCTGCCTTATACAAGTAATTTATTAACAATTATTTTATATAACTATTCGTATAACACGGTAGTTACGTTCCAAAAAATTGCCGTGTTATGCGAATCCGTGTTATACGAAACAAAGAACTAATACGAAAAGGAGGGTTAGGTTCCAAAAATTAAAAAACATGCTAGTATATTTTCATAATTAAGATAAATATCTTCATTAAAATTTTTTTAAGTGATACATATTAATATAAATTAAACAATGTTTTCTTCGTCATCACTAAAAACACTATTAATTAACCGAGAGCGTTTTCTTTTTGGCAAGTTATCCTTATCCTCTGAGCATTTTTCTGCATTATCTTCAGATCCATGCTTTACCTTTTGCAAAATGTATGTAATTTTAGATTGCTTGCTTCTAGTTAAAAGGTCTTTATAAATTTCCTTATATGGTGCTAAGCACTTATGAAGAATAAAGCAAGTATGGAATAAGGGAAAAACATTCGGCAACATCAGAAGCAGAAGCGTCGCGATCTGGCAACATTGAAACAAGTTTCGAGAAGGACCACGTGTATCGACAGAAGGCGAGAAGAGAAAATTTACATACTTAAGTACTAATAGTTCACGAAAATAATAATTTTCGTGAACTATTATTACTTAAGTATGTAAAAATTTATTACATTTCCTGTTGTACGAGGGTTTTACCCAATTCTCGAACCGTGTCAGAGTGAATCCGTGCTATAAAAGTACCGTGTTATACGGGGGATGGTACCAATTCTCAAACCGTGTTAGAGTGACTCCGTGCTATAGAAGTGCCGTGTTAATCGGGGGTTACCTGTATTGTCCTGTATACAGAACAATACTTAAATCAAATATTTATAAAATTATAGTCATATTTCATAATCTGAATCTAATGCATTCCTGAAAATGATTTGGATATTGGGAAGTGTTTTCCATTATTTCTCATGGGAAAACTAATTTGTTCCCAGTCCCTCTGAGTCACTTCAACCAATTTTCCCAAATGACATTAAAGCAATAATAAAACTATTAAGTCATGTTTTAGCATAATCTTATATATTAAAAACACTGATTACTTTATCAACAAATCCTAATGGAGCCATTAAAGGAAATAATTATAAATAAGAGTACTAAAAAAATTTAATGCATTACTAAGAGAAATTATATATGAACTACTTATGAAAACAATGATACTGTACAGTACATTTTAAATTAAAATAGAATGATAAAATGAGAGATTGAACCTATTCTAATGAACTATTAAGAATAAGCTCATAGATTGTGTTGAAATTTTGTGATAAAATAATTAAACTGCATTACGGATAGAACAAAGACAACCATTTCTGAAACAAATGAAAACAAACATTGGGAACGGAATCACTCCCTACTTTGAAGGACTTTCTTTTGTACTAACTGAATCAAACAATAATCTTGATATCGTGATGCTACTAAGAAATATCATTTTTAGCAGGAATTCAGATATGGGGAATATGGATACCAGAGTATAGGTATAATTAAAACTTTCTTATTTATATAAAATCTTACTTTCTGATTATGCTCATAAAAAACAATCAAGTTGTTTGTTTTTGAAGCTGAAACACTTCATTTGAAAAAAAACAAAAAAAAACTTAATATTTATCTTAATATATAATAACTCATTTTTATGTAAAATGTATTGTTATTTTATAAACAGCCGTAATACAGATTTAATATTTTTGAAAAATGCAGGATTTAAGCCTATTTTCATTTATAAATTATAATGCTGCATATGCTGAATTAAAAGTATGAATGTTTACTTATAATAAAATTCTAAAATTTATAACAAATTTTTGAAAGTAAATTTACACATAGTTTCTGATTTACATTTGTATCTATGATTAATTTTCACTTCTTTTAATACTTATAATTGATATGCAAACTATGTAATGTAATGTCATTACTTGTATAAGGCAGACAGTTTTAATATTATAAATTATGTAAACTTTTATGTGAAATAAATGTAAACAAAATATTTAAACTTAAGTTATCTAAAAATATAAGCAAATTCTAAAGTTTTACAAGTTTAACATCCTATTATTATAATTACTACTAATAAAATTTATAGAAAGTAAAAAAGATTTTCTTCTGTTATGTTGGTTATAGCATTTAAAGTTTTATTTAAAATAGTAAAGTCTGACCCAAATTTACAAGCTATCAATATATGAGAATTCAATATAACAAGCTGCTTTCCTCATTTACATGATAAAATATTCAATGCAACAAGCACTAACTTATAAGAACAAAATATTCTAATCATGAGTGCAGTGAATATGAAATTCTTGCATGCTGATTAGACTCATACATTCTAGTCTCCATTTTCATTACTTTGGTTGATACTGTGCATTTGTTCATTAGTGTAGTACTTTTTTCTTTCTAATGCAGATTTACTGTTTAGTAAGCTACATACAGACTACTATTAGTGATTACAATTTCATTAATTAAAAAACTATTTTATTTGCTTATTGTCTTAACTAAGTTAAATGAATAAATAGGGTGACTGGATCATGGTAGAATAAGGTATAAATTTCAATCATAAGAAATAATGGATAAGCTTGTCCCTATTTATGACAGGTTTTCAGGAATGAGATATGCTGTATACAAAACAAAAATAGTAAATTTCTTTTATGCTCATTAAATAAAGGTGAGAAAATTTGAATATCTTGTTAGCTCCTAATATAAAATGTTTGTTGGCATCTTATAAAATTGTTAGTTATCTGATAATGATCTGTTTCTGATAACAACATTGATGAAATGATGAAAAGTCTAAGCCACAATTGAGATTCTATGATAAAAGTATATATTCTTTTAAATTAAAAATTCTCAGTCTAAATCATATTGGTTACAAAACAATTAAAATCAGTAAGTTACATAATATTTGCAAGTATTAAAATTAATTACTTATATGGTAAAATTAAAACTAAAATTTCAACCAATTAATTATTTGTGTATTTAAAATTAAACATAAGAAATGACAAAAATAATGTTACAGTCTAACTTCAATGTTAAATAGAATCAAACAACACTTATTTGAAATACTATCCAACCAAAGTCTGATGCATTAGAAACAATTCCACTAAACAATTTAAAATTTAACAATCTCTATCTTCATTTTGAATAGTTCATAAATAATTAATCTCTGATAGCATTAGCATCAAAATTGCCTATTATTATATAATAGAAACAAATACAGTTAAACATGTCTTAAATGATAGAAGAATCAAATACAGTAGAACCTCGAAAACTCGGCCTAATGTGGACCGAAGGGTGGCCGAGTTTGTGAAAATGCCGGGTTATCAGGAATGAGGTTAAAAAAGGATAAGTATGCGTGTTTCCTCAGAAAATACTGTACTGTACTTGTATGTATTGTTTGCTTGAGAATACAACAGAGAATAAACTGCCCAAATACCCTTAAACAAAGGAAAAGTACGTACTTTATGAAGGCATAGAGCCTTTACTACATGAAAATGAAAATTAATGAATACACTGTGTACAGTAATTTACCTGATAAGACAGACCTCAGAAAAATACTTTATGAGAGCTTTTATACTTTTATAAAGCTGTCTATAATGAAAATTAATTAACTAAGGATTTTTTTGCCCTGCCAGGGTGTGGCCGAGTTATCCGGAGTGCCGGGTTATCGAGAGCCGAGTTTTCGAGGTTCTACTGTAATGGTAAACTAATAGTTAAAATTTAGTTATTGAGATTTCTATGATTTTCTGTTTTTTATTTGAACTATCATTATAAGTTTTATTTTTTATAGCTTGTGTGTATACTAAAAATTATACTGAATAAACTTAAACTAAATCAATTATTTTGAACTATATTAACATTAATTTAACCATAATTTATTACCAGATTATTAAGGAATGTAAGTTTGTTTGCTAATGACATTCAGGCTTTGGTTTTTATGATATTGAATAAACAATTATAATAAAATTTTACCAACTGTACTAATTGTTTGTAATAACTGATGTTTAGGACAACATATAAAACACTAGACTTTTGAAGTCTATCATACATTCTTGTACACATACCAGAATACATAGACTACAGTGGCAATGATTACAAACATGAGTTACAATAATAAAATGTTTTTACAAAGTAAAAATGTAAGTATGAAGAGACTTGTTCTGTTTCATGCTTTTTAGAGATGTTGGCAAAACGTTATAGAAATTTAAATACTGAAATCAAAAAGCTTAAAATAT